GCGTCCGCCATCTTTGGTGAGATGCTTAGACCGCTCTTCTTGGTAGCAACGCTACTGGGTCTTGGTGGTCCTGTGGTTGCCGTGGCCACTGGGCAGGGACCGGGATAACCCCCCTGGTCCAAAGGGGGGGTAAGCGAGACACTGGCCGGAGACCCAGGAGAGCGGCCGTCCCTACCCGGCTCAAGCTCCTGAGCGCTTCGGGCCTTACTTTGGAATGCCAGGCATGGTCTTGAGTGGTATCCCCGTGAACCCCAGCTGCTGGAGGTTGCTGTGGGCACCAGTATGGGTCAGTGGTTGCATTTAGCACCTAGCTGGCACCGATGTTCCGGCCCAGAAGCAGGAGCTCAGATGGAGCACGTCTGATCCTGTCGGCAGTCAGGCCCCGCCCCCAACAATTTATATTTTTATTAACTGTTTTCAGTGATTCTTTCCAATCTTCACAAGTGATATCGATTTTTAATTCTTGCTGCCAATTTTTTTATCACTGGTAAAATCGGTTTATTAAAAGGACACTATAGTCACCAGAACAACTACAGCTTATTGAATTTGTTCTGGTGAGTAGAATCATTACCTGCAGGCGTTTTGCTGTAAACACTGTATTTTCAGAGAAAATGCAGTGTTTACATCACAGCCTAGTGATAACTTCACTGGCCACTCCTCAGATAGCTGTTAGAGATCCTTCCTGGGTCATGGCTGCCTAAAATGCATCCAAACATTCTAACAGCATGCTAACAGCATGCAGAGTTACAGCTTCAGGCTTGACTACAGTAAGATTTTTACTATAATTATGGAGGCATGAGGGGTCCAGGGGTGGCTAGATGGTGGTTTTAACACTATGGGGTCAGGAATACATGTTTGTGTTTGTGACCCGATAGTGATCCTTTAAGGTCATCCTTAATTAAATCCATACAACATGTAATTAATTTATTCATTTTCATACCTTTTATCATTTTTCCTAGTTTAATATGTTTGGATGAATTGTCTGGAATTAAATGTTATTGTAGGTAACCCTTTATTCTAATAAAATTAAAGATTTCTTTATTATTTAAACCATACCTTGTATTTAGCAGAGTGAAATCCCTAATCTTATCGTTATCCAGTAATTTTTCAATTCTATTGAGGCCAGCCTTCCATTTTGAGGCCTATCCATTTGAGGACTATCCATTTTGAGAGGTTTAAGTCCGCAACATTATACATTAATTGAGATAATGGGAGGCCTGCGATAATTCTATCTTGGAGGTGACAGATCCCTCTAAGTTTTTCCCATGTGTTAAAAAGATTATTAAATACTATACTCTTTGATTGAATATCTATACTGTATTTTTTTTCTTTTTTGTCCCTAGTCCGCCAAAATATTGATCTCAACTCTTTAGTAACATCACTAGTTTTTTTAACCCATTTCTATTTTATACCAGATTTCCTCTTTAACATTATCAAACTGAGTATAAATAATGTGTTAACATGCAGGCTTTCCAATAATAGTCTTAACAAGGGTAATCCCAGTCCACCTTGGCTGACTTTCAGTGCTAAACGACTGGCACAAATACGTGGATGTTTACCCAACCATATAAATGTATTGAATATTGATTGCGCCAAACTCAACCAACTATCTGGACAGGCTACAGGCAACATACGAAATAGGTAGATCCATTTTGGTAGAATATATGATTTTACAATATTTATTCTTCCTCACCACGAAACTTCCCAAGATTTCCACTCTTTAAATTTTTTACCAGTATATTTAAGTAGAGACATAAAATTACTCTCCATAAGATTGAGAGGGTTTGTCGTTATTTGAATTCCAAGATATATAAAATTAGAAGATGAGCAATCTAACCCAAACTTATCATATAGTGACCTTCTTATCTCAAGCGGTATATTATCTAACATAGCAGTTGATTTACTTATATTCAATTTGTACCCAGATAGAAGTGAAAACTCATTTATAATCCTCATGAATTTGTTCATAGGATCACACAGGGTCAGTACCACATCGTCGGCATACATGATCTTTACACTTTCAGTTAAAACAGGGAATCCTATAATCTGCTTGGCTTCTCTAATTGCCAAAGCCAAAGGTTCGATAACCATTAGGTAGAGTAGGGGGGAGAGTGGACAACCCTGTCTGGTTCCGTTATTCAGTTGGAACCATTCTGATGAAAAACCCTCACCCATTACTCTCGCTGTGGGAAAAGAGTATAGGGCAATTATAGATTTAATTATATTGCCAGCAAGATAAAATGCCTTTAAGACCTGCCCCAGTTAATCCCACCTGACTCTGTCAAAGGCTTTCTCAGCATCTAACGACAGAGTCAGGAGGGAGACCCCATCATGGTGGGCCATATCCAAAATGTCTATGATTCTTCTGATGTTATAAACAGACGATCTACTTTTTATGAAGCCCACCTGATCATTATGTATGATGGACGGAATAATATTACCTAATCTTTCTGCCAAAATGGATGAGAATATTTTTATGTCAACATTCAAAAGGGAGATAACACTATAATTTTCTATAATCTCTGTATTTTTATCCTGTTTAGGAATGGGTATAATTTGCGCTTTTAACATTTCGCTCGGTATCTCTCCTGTTTGTGTAATTTGATTAAATGTCCTCATAAGAGTCTATTTAATATTATATGTTAGGGACGAATAAAAGATATTACTAAACCCATCAGGTCCTGGTGATTTATTAGTCTTAAGTTTTCTTATAGCTGTTTCTACTTCATCTGTACTAATTTCTTCATTGAGTTTAACCAATTGCTCTTCCGATACTCTAGGTAAGTTATATTTATTCAGAACACCGGCTATGTCTATAGCGGGTTGTCTCTCTGGCAGATTGTATAGATCCGTATAGAATTTCTGAAACGCCTCATCTACTTTTTCTGTATTAAGCAGGATATTGTTGCCCTGCATTTTCTTAGCAACTATTTTTTTTGCTCTGTTGTTTTTTAATCTTCTGGACAATAATTTATCGGCTTTGTTCCCCTGATAATACCATATCCTTGCAGCAGCAGAAATTATTGCAGAATAAAAAGGTCGAAAAACATATTATATGCTTTAGTATATTTATAAAAAAAAAAAAAATTGTCTTAAAGACACAACACAACACAACTTAATTTTCTTTCAGATCAAAAACTGAACATGTTTGGACTCATGCAAATTTCTGGCACTTAGCAGCCTGGATAGCAGAATTTCTTTTGATCACCCGAAAAGCCCAAATTCAGACGGATTGCAGTTCTGTCCAAAACTAATCTCCAAGCCTAATAAACAGCTAACCATAAGGATTTCTAATAAGACACATCTCTGTATGTTCATGTTCTTGTTTTCTCTTTTGTAATTCACCTCTTTTGCTAATATGTTTGCATGTTTATTAAAAGAAACTGTATTTCAGTCTAATTTGTGATTGTTATATATGCTCTGTTGCGTTCATTCTCTTTTCAATTTGTTCTGATTAGTTAAGCTAGCATTTTTCTTGTGAATATATTAATAGTATTTACATATTTCATTTCTAAAACTGGTGAAAATATCAGAAAAGTCAAAAAGTAAAAAAGCTTTGTGTAAAACACGGTAAACTCGTTAGAATTTGAGAGGTTTATTCCATTTCTGTACAAATGCACTTACCGTATATACTCGAGTATAAGTCGACCCGAATATAAGTCGAGACCCCTAATTTTACCCAAAAAAACTGGGAAAACTTATTGACTCGAGTATAAGACTAGGGTGGGAAATGCAGCAGCTACTGGTAAATTTCTAAATAAAATTAGATCCCCCAAAAATTATATTAATTGAATATTTATTTACAGTGTGTGTATATAATGAATGCAGTATGTGTGTGAGTGTGTGTGTGTATGAATATGAATGCAGTGTGTGTATGAATGCAGTGTGTGTGTGTATGAATGCAGTGTGTTTGTGTATGTATGAGTGCATTGTGTGTGTATGAGTGCAATGTGTGTGTGTATAAATGCAGTGTGTGTGTGTGTATGAGTGCAGTGTGTGTGTATGAATGCAGTGTGTGTGTATGAGTGCAGTGTGTGTGTATGAATGCAGTGTGTGTATGAGTGCAGTGTGTGTGTGTATGAATGCAGTGTGTGTAAGAATGCAGTGTGTGTGTATGTGATGCAGAGCCTTGGTGGGGGGTGGGCATTTTTATTTTTATATTATTATTTTAATATTTTTTTTTATATTATTCAAATTTTAATGTTATTTATTTTCGTTCCCTCTCCCTGCTTGATACATGGCCAGGAAGGGGGGCTCTCACTCCCTGGTGGTCCTTTTACTTACCTTTCCTGCAGCTCCTGTCAGCTCCCTTCTCTCTCCTCCGGTCCGGTCAGCTCCCCTGTAAGTCTCGTGGTCTGACTGCCGCGCGGAGCGTTGCCATGGTAACCCGTGGCAACGCTCTGACCCCGCGGCTCTCGCGAGACTTGCAGGGGAGCTGACCGGACCGGAGGAGAGAGAAGGGAGCTGACAGGAGCTGCAGGAAAGGTAAGTAAATGCTTCCTGCCATCCCCAAACAGGACTGCCGGGCTTGTAATGAGCCCGGCGGTCCTGGTCTGTATTATGGCAATGTAAGTTACCATAATACAGACAGTAACTCGAGTATAAGACGAGTGGGGGGTTTTCAGCACACAAAATGTGCCGTAAATTCATCTTATACTCGAGTATATACGGTATTATACAGTTGTCACAATTTGACAAAATTAAAGGGAAACTCAAATTTTTAAACTGCCAGTTGAATAAAAGATTCACCTATAACGTGTGTTATTTTTCTACATTTGCTATTTAGCAACGGACAAATTTCAGTTAAACCCTGACACAACCAAGGCACATAGTGCACAAGAAGAAAGTAAATCAGGACAACTGTTTCTGTTCTAATAGTAATAGTAATTGTTTGCTTTATCATATACCATGCCAGCATTAACCAATGGGTTAGCTTCTCTCCTCACAGCAGAAAGGACGGGAAACAAAACTCGGGAAATAGTAGAAAAATAACCCACCAA